ACATGGCCAAATCCTGCTCTTCTGACTTTCCTTGGGACTCCTTGTGTGACCACAGACAGCAGATTTTTGCCCCACATCTTTTATTTCTAAAGCCAACTGATGTATATGTGGGATATTTTTCTAATACTGAAGCTTTTTATAGACTATAAATAATACTATGGGGCTGGTGCTTTCCAAAATAACTATTTACCCTAAAATATTGTGGGAAGCATAAATAGTCCTATGGGAAGTGACATTAGCCTGTATGTTTCACCAAATACTAAATGTTCCCCGTGATCAGCACTACTAACTTAAAAGGGCCCAGAGTAAATGAGAATTGAAAATGAAAATCCATTTAGCCCTACTAGAATAAATTATGTGGATTTACTAAGCACATAGTAAAAGTGAGGCTGGCACTTTAAAAGAAAGCAAACAAACAGTTTTAACCAGACTCTACGATGGGGAGGCATGCACCCAATTAGCGAGCATTTTACAGCAACTATTTTACAGCAAAAACAGAAATACACTGTTATTTTTGACCACAGAAACAGGGATATTTGACACGTCCCCAATAATGGAAAGAAAATTGAGAACAAAAGCTAAACATTGAAGACAAAGGGACTGTAAGAGAGCCAATAGGATTTGATGCTAAATCTCAGCAATAGGACTGCGTGTTAGCAGGGCAAAATAGTTTCAGTGAAATGAAAAATTATAACTGTAATTACAGAATCGTCATTCCTTCTGTAGGAACCCCACATTTGCTTTGAGTCAGCAGGGACTAGTGAAGAGAACACAAGACTGGGACTCAGGAAACCTGGATTCTATTCCTGCATCTGGGTGACCTTGGGCAAGTTATTTCACCTTCCAGTGCCTCTGATTTCCCGTCTGTAAAATGGGGCTGATGATATTGACCTTCTTTGTAAAGCATTTTGAAATGTATTGATGATAAGAGCTAGGCATTTATTATTATGATAATACTTGCAAAACAGGAAGTTTGGAAAATATACCAAGCTGTAGACTTTGCCTGGTTTGTGGTAAACAAACAGCCACACTTCTGTTCTTAAATCTGGTGTTGCCACTCATTAAGGGCTGAAGAGTCCAACACATTCATTTATACCTAATTTAAAAGATTAATCATATTTTTAATATGTCTAATCAAAGCTCCCCTCCTTCAGCCTTTTCTTAAACTCTGTTTGTAAAGTGGCCTGAGCCCTTTACCCTCAGTTGTTTCTAAGGAGTGAGAGGTAAGGCTATATGTACACCAGAGAACAATGCCTATGGTATTTCCAACAATAATCAAGGCCATCTGAAATCTGTCACTTAATATTTGCATGGCATCCTTTTCTTCAATTTGTCAATGTAGATTATGCCCACAAATAACCATGCCCAGTAGCATAATATGGCTCACTACTTAGTATCTGTCAAACAACTTGCCATCAGCTTTCTACAACTGATGTTTTCAGTAGATTTCTGCTGAAGACTGAAGAAGTTTTTCTGACCTCTTCACTACAGAGGATTCAAAGACCAGCTGAGGCAGCAGTCCAGTACTACAATATGCCATAAGAGAATGAGAATTAACTAAGCAACAACTGAATTTGGAAATAGATTTAGAATAGCCACTGACCGCTGCAGGAGAAAGAGTATTTCTTTAGTGCCGCTACCATTAATTTAGGTCACATAGATAAAACTTTAGGGACTTATTCCCCTCTAATGTCTGACCCAAACACAGGAGGATTGAAGGGATGCAGACTGCTAAAGTCAAAAGAGCGAGACCAACAGTCTTGGTTCTTGCTCTTACTGATTTTCCTCACTAACGACATGAACAGACAGTATCAAATGTGTCCGAGAATGGCCTCTTTACTACTAGGCTAGGACCCAGGTTAGTTTACTGGTTCTTGCTCTGTTGGCCAGCAGGAGTAGGTCTGCTATGGGAGTGGCATTCTCACTGCTGGGGAGGATGGGATCATGGGAGTGGTCTGTGTATTACTCAGCAGCATGCCCCCTTCTAATTGAAGATAATGGCCTAATTACTATTTGATTTGATGGTGCAGGATGAAGCCCTAAAGAAGTGGCTATAGAAGTCTCTGCTCAGAGGCCTGTTCACTCATGAAGAAAGCTGTGGGATGGGATGCAGAATCTCAAGGATGGGTAGGCCAAATCTGAGTTAAAAAGAGGGTCCATTAGAGTTTCTTAAAGATGTGAAGTAAACCCTATATCCGAGGGGTTGTATGTGTGTGTAGTGGAAGTGTCAGTGCAAATTCCTGCAGCTTGTTCTAATTGGGCATACCTTTTTGTTGATTGTAGTATGTGTTCTTAATATTAGGGTGTGCAGTCACTAGAGGCTGGTGGACCAGGCACAGTGGCTTACGGAAGGGGCTTGAAGCTGGATTAGTGGGTGAGACGAACAAGCTTGTGGCTGGGTATGCAGCATAAATAAAATGTAGCAGAGCAGCAAGGGCAGAGAAGGGGAGGATTGATCATTTCAAGAAGCATGTTTTTAAACTGAGAAGACCTTTCTTTTAGTCAAGTACTTTTGGTCTCACGAGTGCTGCTGCAGCTCTCAATATCTATAACTCACTTTGCATTGCTAACTAAAAGCTGATGTCTGCTTTTTAAAAACACCAGTGTCTCCCAAACCACATGGGCGTTAGATACAGCAGGATCGTCGTCCCTCTCAAGCACAGATCCAGAGCAGTCGTGGAGACGGTAGCACTCACACAGCTCTCGTTTTGCAACATTTTCCTTGTTGGGGGGGCCAACTGAACTGATGGTTCTGTTAGAGGTTTTCTAATGAAGGTTACATTTTTAATGGATAGTTTAACTTCTCAAATGAGCTCTCTAATGGAAACGTTGCTGGGACAGGTAGGATCCAGCACCAAAGTAAATGTCACTTTTAATAAGTGACTCAATATTTTTCTGAATTATCTTCCAACTGTCATAAAATAAAATCTCTTATAAAAATTAGAGCGAGAGCTGGAAGAAATACATGCAACCAGCCATCTATCCAATTCATTTTTTTCTGCTTGCAAGCTAGCCACAAGACATTCATGATTTCCCCAAATTTGTTCTTTATCTGCTAATTTAATGAATTATGTGGCTGAACAAATGACATTCTTGGTATTATCCCTATATTGGGTGTTTGATTATTAGTTATTCTGTCTTTTTAGTTTCTTATAACATGCCTCTCACTGTCATATCAGACAGTATGTTTGTTAATGTTTAGGGGGTCACGTTAGCCATATATTATTGTGTCTGTTCCTTGTAAAGAGGAGGCATGCCTGACCAAAGCACTAGTGATCGGGGGCAGGGGGGAGGCAGTGGGGGAAGAGAGAGATTACGACACTAGAGAAACTTTAGGACATTTAAAAGCTTTTCCTGTCCTTTTTTGTACAAAAGAAAAGACATCATAGCGGACTCTGCATATGGACCCGCAGATTTATAGCTGCGTTCTCTTCTCACTGAAGATGAGAGACAGAAGCCAGACTTATTGGCTGTTTAGCAGACTTTACATTCACTTATCTGCCACACTGATACCAAATAACTGTGCATACATACACACATGTGGTCCTATTTGAAAGGTTGTGGCCAGTCCCTCAACTGGCCTATTTAATTGTCTGAGTGCCAGGGACTGGAGGAAGAGTGAAAGGATTGGCACATTGGATGTAGGATGATAGGACATTCAACACAGCACAATTTAATTTATTGGGGCTAGGGCATCACTTGAATTTCACTTTTTGAAACAGCCTATCACTAATGTCATATTCACATAATCAGGCCCAGTGTGTAGGAAAGGCAGGTCAGATCTCAGGAACAATCTCTGTGTTGGGGAACCAAACTCAGTTTAGGGGTTTAGGAAACAATCATCATAAGTCTTCCCCATGAGGTGTTTGCTTAGCAATGTGCCACTCCTATGTGTAACTGCCATTGCTGGCTGGCACGCACACGTATGCATACAGTCTACTCAGAGCAAAATCACCCCCAAAAATCACCCTCCAAGAAACCAAACTCACCAGAGAAGACAGGGTCAGTCCAACAATGGCTAGTACCAGCATGGCAATATCACAACCACCAAGCGCCTCTGCTAGTGCTTTGCATTATGTGAAGCAAAGACACAGCAGTCTATGTTTGTACAAACTGACTGGAAAAAGCAGGAAGTCAGGGGCTGTGGAAGGGATAAGAATAAAGGGGTTGGGTTACAGGTTCTTGTCCATCCACAGCACCAGCAGTTAGCAGGGGCATTCAGTGTTGAAGAGAAAGATCCCTCTGTCGATGACTCCTCATAGCAGACTTCCCCCTACTGAGAGAGTCGTTGAGGAGGATGTTGATAACTGGCCCTGTGCTAGGCTGATTGAGTCCTGAGGGCCATGATAAACATGAGGGTCTCTCTATGGAGCACCTGAAGGCTGGTGAAGAAGCTGTCCAAAATAGGATGCTGACATGTTACTTTCCCATTGTCTCAAAGTTAGAGAGAAAGAAGAGGCCCATACAACTTGTGGGATAAGATCACAGGAAGCAGCAGAGGTGCCGGAGCTGCCCAGGGTATAGGCTGTCATGCTTCATATAGTCAGCTAACTCTACCAACAGCCAAGAAAAAAACCGGACACTGGAATTGTACGTGTGGGAATATTTTTCTCTTGACAGCAGTGATGAAATCCTTGCAACTTGTCTAATATGTCAGCAGATGGTTAGCAACAGACTTGACCCCGGCTGGGTGGGTACCACATCTATGCAGAAGCACAGAGATAGGGATATACGTAACGAGAACCAGGTTGAGCAGCAGCATGGCTTTCCTCATGATCACTGCGGTGTGTCAAGAAAGCCTTGTGCGAGTCAGAGTAATAGCAATATCACCAGTGTGCCCAAAGTATTCCATAGGAGATTTAGTGTAAAACAACCCTGGACAAGAGTTTTAAGGGCTAAAAAATATGCTTGTATATAGGCTGAAGCCTTATTCTTGAATATTGCTGTGCAAAACATGCCAGTGCCTAACTTACTGTTACTTCCAGGGGGAGGGTCAGGGCTTTTGGGAACCAATGGCTGATGCTGTTCTTTATCTTCCCCGCCCCAAAAGGCATAGTTAGAGATCTGCACATGGCCAAGAAGTAATGTGTGCAATATAGCAAGCAGAGAGTGAGAGGGAAGGTACAGCTGATCTTGGACAAATGGCCTATTGATCGAACAACTGATTATGAGATCGTGTCAGCCTCATCAAGAGCACCAAGATCAAACGACCAAGGCATCACTGTATGCATGTGCGGATTAGAGCAGCAACACACTGCCATTGATATATTTGATAAACTGCATGTTGGGATAGAAGAATGGCCCACTCTCTCCTTTCTCTCCCAGCCCAGGTTCCTGGCCCCAGACAGTGGGTGAGATGTGAGGAAGGCAGTGCATGATGGCTGTTTCCCACAAGGCTCACTTTGTGCAATGCCTGATCCTAACAGAAAGGGAATGCGACAGCAAGTGGTGCGCCTCATCGCTGCCTCTAAGGCCATGTCTGCACTTACCGGGGATCGAAGACCTGCTAAATTGATAGCAGAGTGCTCTCCGGTCGACTCTGGTACTCCACCGGAATGTGAAAAGTAAGGTATGTTGACGGCAGAGCGTCCTGTCAACATAGTGCAGTGTAGACACCACAGTAAGTCGACCTCAGCTACGTCGACTCCAGCTACGTTATTCACATAACTGGAAGAGAGTAACAGGAACAGAGTAACTTAGGTCGACTTACCCCGGTAGCGTAGACAAGGCCTAAGATCCGTAGCCACATCATGCAGTGTTGCACAGGGCATTGTGTTCCCAGAGCTTCAGTTAAAGCCCCAGTCACCACATGAAGCAAGAGGTGGTGCTGTGGCTCTCCACAAGTAGGACAGGCTTTATGTGCAGGAGGCACGATTTAATGTTTCAACCTACATTCCTTCAGCCAGGCGCAGGAAGGCAGCAGCCTGCACTATGCACTGCCAGACTGGCCCTTGATAAAACCTCTGGGCAATACCCTCAGGTCTTTGGATGATGCCACGAGGTTTTTTTCAGTGGGGAGGAGACTTGCTTGTATTAGCCAGGTCATGTCATTGAATTACCTGCTGGAATAAAATGTAAGCTGTATGCTTGAGCAGTACAGCAAGGAAGGTGATCCACAAGTGCAACAGTGACAGGAAAAATGCTGCACCTGTGGGAGAGGTTAGCTGCCACCTCAGAGAAGTACATCAAGAAGAATAGGCTATTGTGACTACAGATATTAACCCCAGTCTTTAAAGCACTGTGGGTTTCTTGGGCCTAACTGCAGAGTAAGAGCTTCGATCCAGCAGAAAAAATGCTGACATCTATGCCAACCTTGTACAGGGCATGGGGGAGAAGGGCTACACCAGGGACACGCAGCAGTGCCATGTGAAAATAAACGAGCTTCAGCACGTGTACCAGAAGACAAGGGAGGCGAACCGTCATTCTGGTTCTGCCCCACAGACGTGCTGTTTTTATGAGCAGCTGCATGCGATTCTCGGCGGCGACCCCACCACTACCCCAAAACTCTCCGGGGATACCTCCCAGGAGCCCCAGGCAACCTTGAGCAACAATGAGGAGGAGGAGGACATTGGTGAGGAGGAGGAGAATGTGAGGCAGGCAAGCGGAGGATCCATTCTCCCCGACAGCCAAGAACTGTTTTTAACCCTGGAGCCCACCCCTTCACAGGACCAGTTGGAGGCGGAGCGTGATGCCGGGGAAGGCACCTCTGGTGAGTCCACATTTCTAATCAAACTGTAGGGGTTACATGCTATTATTTTTTATGTTTAATCTGAACAAAAAAGTAGGTGTAGTGAGTATTGGTGGCCACTCCAGCTACGCAGAGGGTGCTCTCAGAAAAGACTCTTTATGTGCACGGGGAGGGACCGGGAATCCTTCAGGGAGATCTCTAGGAAGCTTTCATAGAGATACTCCGCAATCCTTTGCAGGTTTCTGGGAAGGGCTTCCTTATTCCATCCACCATGGTAGGACACTTTCCCGTGCCACTCCAGTATTAACTCTGCTAGCATCGTTGCAGCACACAGCATTGCAGCATAAGGACCAGGTCTGTACCCAGACGCTCGCAACATCTGCTCCCTTGCTGTCTCTGTTACCCTCAGGAGAGCGATATCGCAGAGAGTCACCTAGGGGAAACAGGGGAAGTCTTCAGTACTAGCCCTTAAACAGCAAACAATTCAACAAGTAATCTGTTCCCCATTTGGTGAAATCTGGGTCACACAACCACGCTTCCCAAACATGCTGTTGTTGTGGTTGGAAGGGATCACCATATATTGCAAGCAGCATTGAAAGAAAGGGGGGTGGTGGCTGCTTCCTGTTTGTCTCCCTTCCCCCCATCCTGGTGCCGCTTTTGTAAAAAGCAAACTATTCGGGAGGCTCTGCCCTGGTGCCTGTCCTCAAACACCACCCAGGTTGCTAGGAGAAATGGGGCTTTTCTCAAGTTCCAACTTGTGATCCCCCGAATGTCTTCACAAAAACAGCAGCACAAGACCTCTTGCCCATGCCTCGTGGCCTTACTCACCAGGCTGGAGCAGTAAACAGCCTCTTGCAGTTGTGATTACATTGTGGCTTGCAGTGAAGTGTATTGAGGGATGGTTTTTTTATTTAAAAAAATGAACCTTGCACCAGAAACAATGTATGCACTGTCAATGCTACCCTTGTGCTTTGCATTCCTTGCAGCTGAAACCCTGTCCGTCGGCACATTCTCAACACCGGGACAGATTAGAAGGTGGAAAAAGAAGACTCTGGAGGACATGTTCAATGAGTTAATGCACTCCTCCAAGAGTGACAAGATGGAGCTCAGAGCATGGAGGATCACACTGTCCGAGAACCTGGACCTGGACAGGACAGCATGCAGGGAAAAAGAGCGCGTCACACAGGAGGAGATGCTGCGGAGTATGAAGGAGCAATCAGACATGTTGAGGCATCTGGCTGAGGTTCAAGAAAGGCAGCTGGACGCTAAAGTCCCTCTACAGCCTATGCTGAACCGGCTGCCATCATCACCCATTTCTACATCCTCCCCCCCAAACATCCTGCGGGCGGGGAGCGGGGAGGAGTTTGGTATCCCTCACACTCAACACCAGGTGAGGGTATAAAAACCAGAAGGCGCCCATTCCCACACCTTTGATTGTTATGGCAATGCATCTGTAAGCAAGCTTTCCTTGTTTCTCCCCCCCGCAGTGTTATCAGCCCTTTTGGCCCAGGTTATCTTACTTGTCTTTGTTGTCTCTGTGTGTTTGTGTGCATAATAAAATTTACCAGATTGAGGAGAAAAGGCTCCTTATTCATTCACCCTCCCACCCTGGAGGAAACTTTTCTCCCTTTGTTTCACAGATATAATAGAGCACACAGCAGCCAGCAATAACAATGGACACTTTTGCTTTCACTGAGGTCTAACCTAGCAAGCAAACAATGCCAGTGAAATTTTAAATGTGCAAAGGCACATTCAACCACCATTCTGCACTTGCTCAGCCTATGAATCACAGAATATCAGGATTGGAAGGGACCTCAGGAGGTCATCTAGTCCAACCCCCTGCTCAAAGCAGGACCAATCCCCAATTTTTGTCAGATCCCTAAATGGCCCCCTCAAGGATTGAACTCACAGCCCTGGGTTTAGCAGGCCAATTCTCAAACCACTGAGCTATCCCCCCGCCAGTTGAACTGTTCCTTACTGCTGTCCAGGCTGCCGGTGTACAGCTTCATGAGCCGTGGGAGCAAGGGGTAGGCTGAGTCTCCTGGGATCACAAATGGCATTTCAATATCACCAATGGTTATTTTGCAGTCTGGAAAGAAAGTCCCTGCTTGCAGCTTTCTGAACAGATCTGTGTTCCAAAAGATGCACACGTCATGCACCTTTCCTGACCATCCCACGCTGATGTTGGTGAAATGGCCCCTGTGATCCACCGGCGCTTGCAACACTATTGAGCCATACCCTGTTCAGTTTATGTACTCTTTGGCAAGGTGGTCTGGTGCCGAGATAGGGATACACATTCTGTCTATTGCCCCACCGCAGTTAGGGAACCCCAGCATGGCAAAACCATCCACTATGTCCTGCATGTTGCCCAGCGTCACTACCCTTCTTAGCAGAAGTCTGTTAACGGCCCTGAAAACTTGGATCACAACAGATCCCAGGGTAGATTTACCCACTCCAAACTGATGCCCCACTGACCGGTAGCAGTCTGGCATTGCAAGCTTCCACACGGCTATCACCACTTTAGTATTGCTGCACTTCAGGGCTAGGGAAAGCTCCTCACACAGTTCCTGGAAAGTGGCCTTACACATTCAAAAGTTCTGCAGCCATTGCTTGTCACCCCATAGCTGCATAACGATCCGGTCCCACCAGTCAGTGCTTGTTTCCTGGGCCCAGAAATGGCACTTAACCGTGTCAAGGTGGTGTGTGACTGTCACCAGCAACTGCGAATTGCTCCACTCTATGTCTTCCAGCAGGGCTGCTTGCGTGGCATCACATTGTTCTGTGCAGTGGCTCCTGTATCTGCTGTGTAAATACTGAAGGATAAGGCGTGAGGTGTTTGTAATGCTCACAACAACAGTGTACAGCTGAGCGGGGTCCATACTTATCATGCTATGGCGTCTGCGAGGGTAACCCAGGCTTACAAAAAAGGGCATGAAAAAGGCTTGCTTTGTTTGCCATTGATTTCAGGGACGGAGGGAAGGAGTGGGTAGGTGCATTATGGGAGGCTAACGCCATGTTCCAATAACCACCCATGCCAAAGTTTTGGTGCCATAAGCCATTGCAAGCCCATCCCAAAATTCCACTCGGCTATGTGCACTGTAGGATAGCTACCCGCAGTGCAGTGCTCCATGGGTCAATGTGAGGATGCACTCCACCGACACAATGAGAGTAGTGTGGACATGCAAGATCGACTTGCTTAAATCAGAGGCTCAATGTCAACTTACATAAAGTCGACTTAACTTTGTAGTAGGGCTGTCAATTAATTGCAGTTAATTCACGCGATTAACAACAAAATTAATTGTGATTTTAAAAATTAAAACAGTGATTAATTGCGATTAATCACACTGTTAAACAATAGAATACCAATTGAAATGTGTTACATATTTTTGAATGCTTTTCTACATATTCAAATATATTGATTTCAATTACAACAGAGAATACAAAGTGTACACTGGTCACATTATTATTTTTGATTACAAATATTTACACTGTAAAATTATAAAAAGAAACAGTATTTTTCAATTCACCTCATACAAGTACCATAATGCAATGTCTTTATTGGAAATGTGTAACTTACAAATGTAGATTTTTTTTGTTACATAACTGCACTCAAAAACAAAACAGTGCACAACTTTAGAGCCTACAAGTCCACTCAGTCCTACTTCTCATTCAGCCAATTGCTAAGACAAACAGTTTTGTTTACATTTACAGGAGATACTGCTGCCCACTTCTTATTTACGTCACCAGAACGTGAGAACAGGCATTCGCATGGGACTTTTGTAGCCGTCGTTGCAAGGTATCTACATGCCAGACATGCTAAACATTTACAAGGCCCTTCATGCTTCGGCCACCATTCCAGAGGACATGCTTCCATGCTGATGACGCTCTTTAAAAAAATGCATAAATTAAATTTGTGACTGAACTCCTTGGGGGAGAATTGTATGTCTCTGGCTCTGTTTTACCTGCATTCTGCCATATCATGTTATCGTAGTCTTGGATGATGACCCAGCACATGTTCTTCATTATAAGAACACTTTCACAGCAGATTTGACAAAACACAAAGAAGGTACCAATGTGAGATTTCTAAAGATAGCTACAGCTCTCGACCCAAGGTTTAAGAATCTGAAGTGCCTTCCAAAATCTGAGCGGGACAAGGTGCGGAGCATGCTTTCAGAAGTCTTAAAAGAGCAACACTCCGATGCGGAAACTACAGAACTCGAACCACCAAAAAAGAAAATCAGCCTTCTGCTAGTGGCATTTGACTCAGATGATGAAAATGAACATGCATCAGCCTGCACTGCTTTGAATCGTTATCAAGCAGAACCCGTCATCAGCATGGACGCATGTCCCCTGGAATGATGGTTGAAGCATGAAGGGACATATGAATCTTTAGTGCATATAAATATCTGTCAACGCCAGCTACAACAGTACCATGAGAACACCTGTTCTGACTTTCAGGTGACGTTGTGAACAAGAAGCAGGCAGCATTATCTCCTGAAAATGTAAACAAATTTGTTTGTCTGAGCAACTGGCTGAACAAGAAATAGGACTGAGTGGACTTGTAGGCTCTAAAGTTTTACATTGTTTCATTTTTGAATGCAGTTGTTTTTTGTACATAATTCTACATTTGTAAATTCAACTTTCATGATAAAGAGATTGTACTACAGTACTCGTATGAGGTGAATTGAAAAATGCTATTTCTTTTGTTTTTTACAGTGCAAATATTTGTAATAAAAAATAAATATAAAGTGAGCACTTTGTATTCTGTGTTGTAATTGAAACCAATATATTTGAAAATGAGGAAAACGTTCAAAAATATTTAAATAAATGGTATTCCATTATTGTTTAACAGCACGATTAATCATGCAATTAATTTTTTTAATCATGCAATTAATTTTTTAATCACTTGACAGCCCTACTTTGTAGTGTAGATATGGCCTTAGTGTCACTCAACGCATAAGAATTGTTTCTACCTTTGTCTCTCTCCCCAGTATTTGAAGGCAAAACTGCAACAAGAAAAAGCCCAGCCGAATAGAGCCAAGTGTGCTGGGACTGCTGCTCAGGCAGAATCAGCTCTGGGGAGATCAGGGAGGCGACACCCTGAATAGTGATGAGGAGGCGGCAGTGGAGGCTGCCAGAGCCTGTCACAGTTCTTTAATTCGATCTCTAGGCTTTAGTTTATAGAAGAATGCATTTTCCATCAGCACACCTACACTCAGAGTATGTGATGCTGCTGCTGGTGAGACACACACCTTGTAACTGTGAGGAGGGAGAGACTGCTCCCTGAAAGACCGATCACAGCTGAGGAGGACATATGCCAGCCAAAAATTCCAGCATCACATTTTGAAGGCAGTCAGGTTTTAGCTCAGTTGTCTTCTCTGATGCAGTAAATTTAATATGCTACTGTGGCTAAAGCTTTAACCTCTCCTAGACAAGGATGGGGGGGGGGGAGGGAGGGGGACCTCAGTATACAGTTGATGTATCTCACAGGATACAAACACTTAGATTTATATAAATATTCTCAGAACATGCTGAGATAGCATTTAAAGATGCAACTAAATCAATCTCAAGTTGATACGAGCGACCAAAAGTTATCTGATAGTTGTTTAGTAGCCTGTGTGGAAGAAACTAGTAGTCTCAGTCTGGTAGTGTAGCCGCATCATAGAAACCAACACAAGGGGCAACATGGCTGCAGTCTCAGAGAGATCAGTGAATTCCAGGCTCTGCTCTTTAATGAGATTGGTGAAGGTAGACCCCAAAACCCACATGGAGCCCCTTCGAAGCCAATGGGGCTCTGTGGCAGACGCAGGAGTCTGCTTGCGTGGATCTGAGGCCTGATCTACGTGCAGTATTTGTACTGATAGAACTATTTCAGGTTGGGTGTGTGATTTTTTTTTTCTCCAGTACAACTCCTAACATGGATACAGTTATATCAGTATAAAGGTGCCTTATACTGGAATAGCTTATTCCCTTACAAGAATAAATTGTATCTGTAGAGAAGATGCCTTATTATCATCAATATAACTGCATATATACAAGTGTGTGTGTGGGGACGGTGTCTCTCTTTAACTATACCACCATCGTTAAAGTAGCAGATCATTTGTTTTGGGCAAGCCCTTATTGCAGGATTGGGGCACTAGATTGCAAGATTGGGTCAGGGACTGTCTCTTATTATGCATTTGCACAGTATCTAGCACAATGGGGCCCCAATCTCAGCTGTGGTTGCTAGGCACGACTGTGATGTCAAATTAACAAATAAATAATAATACTAATGATAATAGGGAAGCTTTCACTGCTATGTCCCTTGTTTTCCATATTGTAGGGATAAATAAGAGGCTTTGGTCTGAAAGGCTACCAATGTAACATTAAAGAAAGAAAACCAGAAAGAACGAGGGTAGAAATATACTGCCACTGAAAGAACACAGTTCTCTGGGATTAGAAGGATTTCCTCCAGCTTTCATCTCCAATTTTTCCATCGTGCTCATTTTTCCATCTAAATAAGAAAAGTTATTAAAACGAGAAGATTAGCGAAAAGAACAGGGCCAATTTTTAATTTGTTTGGAGAAGAAG